AATACACCAATTGGCACTCTGTATCTAGCTAACCTAGTGGAGACTTGGAGGACTAGAACTCTGTGACTCTGTGTCTAGCTCAAGGATTATAAATGCACCAATCAGCACTCTGTGTCTAGCTCAAGGTTTGTAAATGCACCAATTGGTACTCTGTATCTAGCTAACTAGCAGGCTGTGACTCTACCTCTAGCTCAAGGATTGTAAATGTACCAATCAGCACTCTGTCAAAACGGACCAATCAGCTCTCTGTAAAATGGACCAATCAGCAGGATGTGGGTGGGGCCAGATAAGGGAATGAAAGCAGGCTGCCCCAGCCTGTCAGGGGTAACCTGCTGGGGTCCTTTTCCATGCCGTGAAAGCTTTGTTCTTTAGCTGCTTGCACTAAATGTTGCTGCTGCTTACTCTTTGGGTCCACGCTGCTGTTATGAGCTGTAACACTCACCATGAAGGTCTGCAGCTTAACTCCTGAAGACAGTGAGACCACGAACCCACCAGGAAGAACAACTCCAGGCATGCTGCTGTCATGAGCTGCAATGCTGACCACCAAGGTCTCCAGCTTCACTTCTGACAGCAAGACCAGGAACCCACCAGAAGGAAAAACCTCAAAACACATCTGAAAGTCTGAAGGAGTAAACTCCAGACACACCATCTTTAAGAACTGTTAACACTCACCGTGAGGGTCCGCAGCTTCGTTCTTGAAGTCAGTGAGACCAAGAACCCACCAATTCTGTACACAATATGACTTTTGGAGTATTCTTTTTTGTGTTTTTGTAGTTACCTTCTTTAGTGTAAAGATAATTAGGAAGTTTCGCTAATAAACTTGCCCTCTTTTGATTGTGCAATTAGCTCTCAGGCAGCAAAGTACAATTGTGCAATTAGCTCTGAGGCAGCAAAGTACAAATGGTGGATCTTTTTTTTTTTTTTTTTGCAAACAATGACTCTTTGAGTCAGTGCTTTTGTTCAAATATTGTAGAAGTCTTTTGGTGGGGGACAAGGGTGTATTCTGGGAGTTACCTGGTGGTGACATCAGAATCAGAAAGCATATATTGTTTTAAGAAGCACATTTCAGCTTTGAACAATGAGAACCCTTGGACACATGATGGGGAACATCACACACCGGGGCCTCTCATGGGGTGAGGGTAGAGGGGAGGGAGAGCATTAGGAGACACACCTAATGTAAATGATGAGTTAATGGGTGCAGCACACCAACATGGCACATGTATACATATGTAACAAACCTGCACGTTGTGCACATGTACCCTAGAACTTAAGGTATAATAATAGTAGAAGAAAGCACATTTCATTGTATAATTACTTTGATGTGTTCTTGATCATTTTACACTGAAATTTTGACTAGCATTTAAAAGGGCCTGAGATTTTTAGATTTATTAGAAAGGGGCTATAGGTTTAAAAGAAGGTTGAAAGACAAATTATTGGGCAGTTACTTTTGGCACAAAATGATCCTTTGTTTTGCAAAAGGAAATCTTGTACTGCAAGATTCCTGGATATATAGCACATAGTTTGATCTTTAAAATTTTTATTTACCCACATTTTGGGGGGACTATATTTACTTTGGAAATGGGGCATGTCTAGAACTATTTTTTCCCGTTTAATCTTGCTAATATGTTGAGCAACTCCTAGTTCTGATAACTACCAGAGAAAATGAGGAATTTAGGGTAACAGCATCCACTTACAGGGGAGCTTCTGTCACAGAATCCTGAGAGTCTCTAGGACCCTGAAAAAGTGAAAGAAACTTTCATGTCACCATACTCCTCGTAATCCTACAGTGCATGTCCAATTGCTTCCACTGACATTTGACTGCTCCAGTATTGTCTTCCCCTTAAGCTGTCGACATTATCTGGAATCTGCCTCACCCTCAGCCTGCCTGCCTGACTTCACTGTCAAGAGGCCTTGCTACACACGGTTTCTTTAGCTTTCTCCTTTTTTTCCCTCAAAATATTCTATCTTGTAATCCCCTGATCAAAATCTTCAGAGACCCACTTGCATGTTTCAAACTGAGTGTGTATCCTTCAGCCTGGTATTTAGGACCCTCTATAATTGGCTGTCTCTGTATAACCTCTCATGAGTTATTTTATTCTCTACACTCAAGTCAAACTCGTCAATTTGCGCTTTTTTTCTTGAAAATGTGCTACATTTTCTCAACTTTTCACATTTTCTCTTGCTGTTCTATTCACCAGTAATACTTTTTTTTCATTTTCAGCTGTAAAAATTCAAGCCATCTTCAAGATGCATCTAGATGCCAAGTTCTTGGTTAAGCCCTCCCTGTTCTCATTTGGATGTCACATCCCTTTCCCCCCCTGAATTATGCATTCTGCTTATGCCTTTACTAGGTCTTATATTAAGACCTACCTTATATTAAAGCTATTTTATATTTTTCTTGAATTCTGTTCTTGAGGACAGAAGGGTATCTTAATCCAAGTTTTGTCTTGTTTTTTTTGACAGTATAGTTTTATTTTTTCATGCAGTGTCTAAAACAAAGTTTGACTCACAGTAAGTGATCAATGAATATTTGTTCAGGCTGGCCCGGGCAACGCAGTGAAACCCTGTCTCAAAAAAAAAAAAAAATTAGCCTGGCATTGTGGTGCACACCTGCAACACCTGCAGTCCCAGTTATTCGAGAGATTGAGGTGGGAGGAGAATCTCTTCAGCCTGGGAGGCAAAGGTTGCAGTGAGCGGTGATCGTGCCTTCGGCCTAGGTGACAGAGTGAGATCCTGTCTCAAAACAAAAATAAAAACATACACACACAAAAAAGAAATAAAATATTTTTTGCATTATTTTTTGATAATGTGGGGTGAGTTTAAAGATTGATTTTCAACACAGTACAGTTCTGGAAACCATATTATAAAATAGATTGTTATAAAGTAGCTTATGTTTTTTGTATTGGAATGATATAATTCTCAGGGGCTTGATATGTGCCTGATCATCAATTTTGGCATAATATTACCAACAATATGTTTTAAAAAGCAAGACTTGGCCGGGCATGGTGGCTCACACCTGTAATCACAGCACTTTGGGAGGCCGAGGCGGGCCGATCACCTGAGGTCAGGAGTTTGAGACCAGCCTGGCCAACATGGCAAAACCTTGTCTCTACTAAAAATACAAAAATTAGCTGGGCATGGTGGCGTGCACCTGTAATACCAGCTACTCAGGAGGCTAAGGCAAGAGAATCGCTTGAACCCGAGAGTCGGAGGTTGCAGTGAGCTGAGATCACACCATTGCGTGATCACGCCCATCCAGTCTGGGTGACGAGCGAAACTCCGTCTCAAAAAAAAAAAAAAAAAAAAAAAAAAAGGCCAGTCTTTAAATTCGATAACTCTCAATAGTCATTTTCTCAGACTGTGAGTATAGTGTTGATTATATAGTGTTTTGAAAGTGGGCAGAATCACACAGAATCACCTTTTCCAAACTTCCTCAGTTTATGAGATGACAAAGAGGTTAAATGACTGCTCAAGGTTTTACTGCAGATTAGTGGCAGAACAGTGATTAAGACCCAAGTTTTCTGATCTCAGTTAAATACCTTCTTCAGGACTTTGTGGTATCTCTTTAATAAAATTCACAATATGAGTTTAAAGGTACTTTACCTATTCATTATACCAGGGTCTATGACAATTTTCTTCGAGTGTAAATATAGCTCATAAAATATTCCTATGAACCTATTCCTATGGTCTCTGAATGTGTCTCCTCAGAATTCATATGTTGAAACGTAATTACCAAAGTGCTGGTATTAGGAAGTGAAGCTTTTTAGAGGTGATTGGATGAGTGCCCTTGTAAAAGAGACCCCAGAAACCTGCTTTGCCCCCTCCACCATATAACACAGTGAGAAACTGGAAGAGGGCATTTACCAGAACCCAGCCATGCTAGAACCATTATCTTGGACTTCCCAGCCTCCAGTACTATGAGAAATAAACTTCTGTTGTTTATGAGCCATCCAGTTGATGGTATTTGTTATAGCAGTATGAATGGGCTAAGACACTTAAGTTGTATTTTTCTTATCTAAATGTTATTTTAGTTTAATACAGTTGTCTATTGCTTAACAATGGGAATGCATTCTGAGAAATGGTCTAAGTGACTTTATCATTTCATGAACATCATGGAGTGTTTGTACACAAACCTAGATGGTATATATAGCCTATGACATACCTAGGCTATATGGTATAGTCTATTGCTCTTTGGCTACATACCTGTAAAGCATATTACTGTATTGAATGCTGTAGGCAATTACAACCATTGTATAAGTAAACATAAAAAAGGTACAGTAAAAATATGGTATAGGCCGGGCGCGGTGGCTCAAGCCTGTAATCCCAGCACTTTGGGAGGCCGAGACGGGCGGATCATGAGGTCAGGAGATCGAGACCATCCTGGCTAACACGGTGAAACCCCGTCTCTACTAACCATACAAAAAAACTAGCCGGGCGAAGTGGTGGGTGCCTGTAGTCCCAGCTACTCGGGAGGCTGAGGCAGGAGAATGGCGTGAACCCGAGAGGAGGAGCTTGCAGTGAGCTGAGATCCGGCCACTGCACTCCAGCCTGGGTGACACAGCAAGACTCCATCTCAAAAAAAAAAAAAAAAAAAAAAAAAAATATATATATGGTATAAAAGGTAAAAATGGTACACCTGTATAGGGCATTCACTATGAATGGAGCTTGTAGGACTGGGAATTGTTCTGAGTGAGACCGTGAGACAGTGGTGAGTGAATGTGAGGCCCAAGGACTTTATAAACACTGTACGCTTTGGCTACACTCGATGTATAAAACATATTTTTCTTTCTTCAGAATGAATTAACCTTCGCTTACTGTAACTTTTTTTAACTTTAAATGCTTTTAAATTTTTTTAAATTTATGGTCTCTTTTGTAATAACACTTAGCTTAAAACACAAATTGTACAGCTGTGAAAATATTTTTTCTTTATATTCTTATTCCATATGTTTTTTTCTATTAACATTTTAAAATTTTTACTTTCTAAACTTTTTTGTTAAAAAACACATACATTAGCCTAGGCCTGGACCCAAAGCGCTCCATGGCCTCTATAATATTCATGCCATCTTTCACCTTGCTAAAGACCACATGCTTGCCATTCAACTACTCTTGGCAGTGCAGATGAATTGGGAACCGTTTGTGTTGGGTACAGCATTTGCCATGGACAAGATGCCAGGACCTGTATACTTTAGGATGAAGTTCTTGTCATCAACTTTCTCTCTGTCGAGGGACTTGCTACCAGTGCCATTATGGCGTGTGACATCACCACCCTGACACATAATCCCTGGAATAATTCTGGGAAAGCAGGGACCCTTATAACCAAATCCTTTCTCTCCAGTGCTCAGAGGATGAAAGTTTTCTGCTGTCTTCGGAACCTTGTCTGCAAACAGCTGGAAGGAGACGCGGCCCAAGGGCTCGCTGTCGACAGCGATGTGGAAGAACACGGTGGGGGTTGACCATGGTTGATAGTACGGGGCTCCTGGCGGCGGCAGCGGCGGCGGCATCTGCAAAGCGTCATTTCCCAGATTTTCTATAGTAAACTATGCATTAAACTCATTCCATTGAACAGTCTTTAAAAAAATGCAACTATGGAGAACGGAACTATCATGAATCTAGGCCTCCCGAAATCTAGGCATCTTGCCCTCTCTTTTTTTCTTGAAGACTTGGTGTAGAAACAGAGAAGAGTGATAATATTTGTAGTTTCTATTTGTTGTAACAAGACATCGTTGGACTTTCAGTGGCTAAGTGCAATGTAGGCTTTTTTTTCGCTCATGTCACAGTTTACAGCAGGTCAGGAAGCTTTTCTGGTCAACTCTCTTCTCAGTGGTGCTTTAGGCATCTGAGCTGTTTCCTCAGTGTGGTTCTGCCATCTTGGAGTTCTTACGTCCGGCACCATAGACAGTGAAAAGAGAAAAGAGACAGTGAGAGAGAAAGAAGAGGAAGAGAGATTGACAGACAGATTTGAAAGAGAGGTTGACAGAGACAGAGGTGGGAGAGGGAGAGACTGAAACAGAGAGAGAGAGAGAAAATGAGAGATTGTGTGAGAACTTTTTGTACGATTAGATTTAGAAGTGATATACGTCTTTCTACTTTGTTTTTACTTATATTCCTTAGTCCAGAGCTAGTCACATGAGCCTACCTGTGTGTCCAGAAGGAAAATGCAAATAATTTGATGCATACAAAATATTGTTCTTGCCATAGTATATAGATAGAGATAGATACATAGATACACAGCAATATACAGAGATAAAGAGATACAGGCTTTAAAAATAATTGCAGATTATTTATTTATTTAATTAATTTTTACTCTTTCCTATTGCCTAATTGATATGGTTTGGCTCTGTGTCCCTAACCAAATCTTGTATCGAATTGTAATTCCCAGTGTTGGAGGAGAGGCCTGGTGGGAGGTGACTGAATCATGGGGACGGATTTTCCCCTTGCTGTTCTTGTGATAGTGAGTGAGTTCTCACAGGATCTGGTTGTTTGAAAGTGTGTGGCCTTTCCCCTTCCCACTCTTCCTCCTGTTCTGCCTGTGAAGAAGGTGCTTGCTTTTGCTTCACCCTTCTGCCATGATTGTGAGTTTCCTGAGGCCTCCCCAACCGTGCGTCCTGTGCAGCCTAAACAACTGTGAGTAAATTAAACCTCTTTTAGTCATAAATTACCCAGTCTCACTTTCTTTATGGCAAAGTGAGAACAGACTAGTACACTTGCTGAGTGAGTATCTTTAGATTTCTGGTATAGAAAACAATAGAATAATGAGTAAAGAATTTGAGAAATGAAATACAGCTTATTATTAGTTTGAAGAAGCAGAGCAGAATACCGAATAGCAGGGTTTTATTTTTAGGTTTTAAATGAGACAATGTATAAATTAAGCTTAAATCATATCCAATATTGGACTTATTGAAGTCTGTAGCCAGAAGAAGAATTGGAAGTTAGACAAGTTTCTTTAAAAAATAAACTCCACAAAACAAGGCTTAAAGCTGGCAGTGTGTTGGTAACTTGCTCGGGCAGTAGTTAGGGTGGGAGGAAACCCTGATTTGTAACATTTGCTGATTTCTGCAGTGTAAATGTTTCCAGCAATGCCACACTTGAAAAATTAATTAACAGTTAATAATTAGCCCTGGAAGCCAGAACTAGCCAGGGTAGCACACCACTCCTTAAACTCTACTACCACAATCAAGCCCAGGAAACACTTTCTGTGTTTTATTGTGCAGGCAGTTAACGGCCACCACAGCTGCCCTCTCCACCTCCACCACCGCAACTGCCACATATTGGTGCTTTCAATGGGTCATGCCCTGTGCTACGCATTATGAAGTTGATCTCTTCAAATCCTCACAACTATGCTTTGAGGTAAGTATTATCAATATTATCTCCATCTTACAAATGAGAAAAATGAGGATTTGACTATTCCAAAGTCAAATAGTGAGTAAGTAGCAGAGCCAGGATTAAAAACATATATAAATCTTAATTTAGCCTAAAACTAGGAATACTTCGAAGCTAGTGTCTGTAGCAAATATCTTGCCATCTAGGGAATAAAAAATTACATTTAGGAAGCTTCTATGGGGGGATTTTTGAGAAATATTCAAAGAACAAAATGCTGTCATTTGAGACTCATACTGCTATTACTCTCAAACTTCAACTGGCATTGAAGTGTTACAAGTGCTCTTAATATATCACTTTTAGGTTTTGAAAATATTTGTACACTACAGACATATTTTATTTTATTGTGTTTTGCTTTATTGTATTTTGCAGATAGTTCGTTTTTTATAAATTGAAGGTTTGTGGCAACCCTATGGGGACCGTTTTTCCAACAGCATGTGCTCACTTCATGTCTCTGTGCCACATTTTGGCGATTCTCGCAATATTTTAGCTTTTTCATTACGATCATATCTGTCGTGGTTATCTGTAATCAGTGATCTTTGATGTTACTATTATAATTGCTTTGAGGCACTATGAATCACACCCGTAAACAACAGTGAACTTAAGCAATAAATATTGTGGGTGTTCTGACTGTTCCACCTATTGGCCATTCCTTCATCTTTCACCTTCTCCTTAGGCATCCCTATTCCCTGAGACATAACAATATGGAAATAGGGCCAATACTAACTCTCCAATAAATGTTCAAGTGAGAGGCATGGTAGCAAATCTCTCACTTTAACTCAAAAGCTAGAATTGATTAATCTTATTGAGGAAGGCATGCTGAAAGCCAAGATAGGCCAAAAAGCTAGGCCTCATGCACCAAACAGCTTAGTTGTGAAAAGAAAATTCTTGAAGGAAATTAAAAGTGCTACTCCAGTGAACACATGAATGAGAAGAAAATGGACAGCCTTGTTGCTGATATGCAGAAAGTTTGAGTGGCCGGATAGATCAAACTAGCCACAACATTCCCTCAAGCCAAAGCCTAATCCAGAACAAGGTCCTAACTGTCTTCAGTTCTAAGCTTAGAGAGGGAAGGAAGCTATAGAAGAAAAGTTGGAAGCTAGCAGAGTTTGGCTCATGAGGTTTAAGGAAAGAAGACAGCTCCATAACATAAAAGTGCAAGGTGAAGCAGCAAGTGCTGATGGAGAAGCTGCAACAAATTACCCAGAAGATCTGGCTAAGATCATTGATGACAGTGTCTACACTAAACAATAGACTTTGAATGTAGACAAAAGAGCCTCTTGTTGGAAGATGTCATTAGGACTTTCGTAGCTAGAGAGAAGTCAATGCCTGGGTTCAAAGCTTCAAAGGACAGGATGACTCTCTTATTAGGTGCTAATGCAATTGGTTACTTTTGGTTGAAGTCAATGCTTATTTATCATTCCCCAAATCCTAGGACCGTTAAAATTATGCTTAATCTGCATTGCATGTGCTGTATAAATGGAACAACAAAGCCTGGATGACAACATATCTGTTTACAGTATGGTTCACTGAATATTTTAAGTCCACTATTGAGATTTACTGTTCAGAAAACAAGATTCCTTTCAAAATATTACTGCCCATTGACAATGCACCTAGTCCCCTGAGACTTCTGAAGGAGATGTAGAAGGAAGATTAATGTTGTTTTCATACCTGATAACACAACATCTATTCTGTGGCCCATGGATCAAGGAGTCAATTTGACTTTCAAGTGTTATTATTTAAGAAACACGTTCTATAAAGTTATTGCTGCTATAGATAATGAGTCCTCTGATGGATCTGAGCAAAGTAAGTTGAAATCTTCTGGAAATGATTCACCATTCTACATGTCATTAAGAACCTTCATGATTCATGGGAGGAGGTCACAATATCAACATTAACAGGAATTCGAAAGAAGTTGATTCCAACCTTCGTGAATGACTTTGAGAGGTTCAGACTTGAGTGGAAGATGTGCAGATGTGGTGGGAATATCAAGAGGCCTAGAATTAGAAGTGAAGCCTGAAGATGGGACTAAACTGCTGATATAACTTTAACAGAGAAGGAGTTGCTTCTTAAGGATGAACAGCTCGTTTTTACAGTTTTTTTTTTTTACAGTTTTCTTTATTTATATTTATATTTTCAGCTGTTCTTTTAGATTTAGGGGTACATACACAGGTCTGTTTTCTAGGGAATATTGTGTGATGCTGAGGTCTGAGGTACAAATGATGCCATCATCCAGGTACTGAGCACAGCATCCAATAGTTAGTCCCTCAACTGTTCACCCTACCCTACCTCCCTGCTCCCAGTAGTCCCTAGTTTCCATTGTTGCCATCCCTACGTTCATGAATATCCAGTGTTTAGCTCCCATTTGTAAATGAGAACATGCAGTATGTGCTTTTCTGTTCCCATGTTAATTTACTTAGGATAATGGCCTGCAGCTGCATCCATGTTGCTGCAAAGGACATGATTTCATTCTTTTTTTATGGCTGCGTAGTATTCCATGGTGTATATGGACCAAATTTTCTTTATTCAATCTACTGTTGATGGTCACCTAGATTGATTCCATGTCTTTGCTATTGTGAAGAGTGCTCTGATGAACATATGAGTGCATGTGTCTTTTGGGTAGAAAGATTTGTTTTCTTTTGGATATATACCCAGTAATGGGATTGCAGGGTTGAATGGTAGTTCTGTTTTAAGTTCTTTGAGAAATCTTCAAACTGCTTTCCACAGTGGCTGAACTAATTTACATTCCCATCAACAGTGTATAAGCATTCCTTTTCTCCACAGCCTCACTAGCATCTGTTGTTTTTTGCCTTTTTAATAATAGCCATTCTGACTGATGTGAGATGGTATCTCATTGTGGTTTTAATGTGCATTTCTCTGATGATTAGTGATGTTGAGCATTTTTTCATATGTCACTGGCTGCTTGCATGTCTTCTTTTGAGAAGTGTCTGTTCATGTCTTTTCCCTGATGTTTAATGGAGTTATTTGTTTTTTACTTGTTCAATTGTTTAAATTACTTATAGATTCTGGATATTTTACTTTTATTGGATGTGTACTTTATTAATACTTTCTCCCATTCTGTAGGTTATCTGTTTACTCCGTTGATAGTTTCTTTTGCTGTGCG